GTGGGACGGGTTTCCTCTCGGGTAGGTGAATCCCGAATAAACTGTCGAAGATAGCCTTGACGGATAAGCCTTTCAATTTCCTCCTTCAGTTGTCTACAGGCTTCTGTAGTGTGGCCACGACTATGATGGAAATGGTAGTATTGGTCCTGATTTCCTATGTTCGGCTTCAAGGGATGTGGCCACTTTACCGTATCTTGATCTTGAACATCCATTAACACATTTACTCGAGACGTATTGAGAGGAGTGTACTCTTTCTCCTGTTGAGGTTCTCGTCGTGGCAATGAAGGCCTCGAAAGTAGATTGTTCTTCCCTTGCTTCTTTCATTGCGAGGAAGAATTATTTTGTCCCTGATGCTCCCTTGCGCTTTCCAGTAGATTGTTCAAATTATTTCCTATGGGCGTTTATAGCCTCATCTGCCAAGATTTGAGCTTCTACCCGGTGAATTAAATCGGTGTATGAAGGAACAGTGTCGCGCATAAGTGCCGAATAAAAGGGGTCAGGGCAAAGGCCTCCAAGGAAGACTCATCTCAACAGTTTAGGATCTACTCCTGAGATTTGTCGAGCTTTAGTGGAGAATCGTTGAAAATACTCCTTTAAAGATTCTCCTTCATTTTGGCGGATTCCAGAGAGGTGAGAAGAATCCTTAGCAATTCTTCGGTGGGCTATGAACTGCTCGACAAAAGCTTTTGCCAATTTTATAAATGAAGGGATCGTTCCCGACGGAAGCGAGTAGAACCACGTACGAGCCTGTCCTTTGAGGGTGGCAGGAAAGACTTGGCAGAGGAGAGCATCTGAGGCTCGCTGGATGTGCATAATGGTTCTGTAGTGGTCGATGTGCTCGTACGAGTCTAACGTTCCGTCGTAAGACTCGATGCTGGGTAGTTTAAATCTAGCCGGAATGGGGTGCTGTAGTATAGCCTCAGCTAGAGATGATGACTCCTGGAAGTCTCTCTGATGAAAGGTTTCTCTCGCATCCCCTTGGGGGAATTCTTCCCTTACTAACCTTCGCAGTTTGTGACGCAGGGCATCATGAGGGAGCTCCGCAACGTGTGGTTGAGCAGAGTCTTCTGGGAGATCTGGGAGAATGCGAGGCTGCCGAATTGAGAGTGGAGGATGTGTTGAACTTGCAGTATTGGCAAGTTCATTATCCTGTCGAGACTGAGGAAATCTTCTAGGTGGAGGGAGATGAACTTCTGCTTGAAGATGCTCAAATTGGACATCTTCAACCCTTGGTGGATTCTGAGGGAGAAAAATTTCCTCCTATTGTGTCAATGTCGGATGTTGATTCTCTCGCAGGAGTTGAAGGATCTCGTTCTGAGATTCTTCCATCTTCCGGATTCTTTTTTCCAAAGAAGGTCCCGAGGTCACTTCTCTGGCAGCATTCTGCCCCCTAGGACGAAAAGATGGTGACATCGGTCGTCTATGGTTAATAGACGAATTTTTGGACTAACGAGAGTTGGAGTGATAAGCTCCAATTATAAGACTGCTGCGCCTGTTAACCATCGTAGCAATACTTGAAGTAGTGGGATAGTGTTTCCCACATACGGTACCAAACTGTTGCGTGCTAGAAAATACGTGGCGGTAGAATTTGTAAATTCGCGTCCGAGCGTTGTACGTAAATTTAACACACAAACAGGAAAATGAAAGAACACCGGGATTTATACGTGGAAAACCCAAAAAGGGAAAAAACCACGGGGCCTCGCCCAGTTGTAAAATTCCACTAGTATTTTTGTAAATTACAAGAAACTGATTTGTCCCACAAATCGGGACGATCAGATTACAACTTGAAGCAAATTTATAAAGTTTTGCAGAATCCCGTTGTTTCCCGAAAATCCGGCAGAGTTCCGGCGTTTTCATGCGGCGGGAAGAGCTCCGACGGTTATCGAAGAGGAGAGGACTCACCTTTTCCTCTTTTCCTTCTTCTTCTCTTCTTCTTCTCTCTCTTCACTTGAGTTTCCTTTGTGAAGAATGAGGGCTCTATTTATAATTTTTCTGGAGTTGCATGGCTTGTAAATAGGTGTGAGATCATGGGCGAATAGGGAGTGGTTTGAATGGACGGCCGATATTGAACCCTTCGATCCTGCACCATTCGTTGGGCATTTGGAGGTCTTAATGATGTCGTAATTCAATGATCTTGAAATCGTTGGATTCTTCTCGTCGATCCGCTCGATTCGAGTATAAGCTCGTTAAAATCGGAGACCGTTTGGTAACTCAAATTGCGGTTTGAACCTTCCAACGGCGCTTTGGGTCCTTTATTTGGACCCATTTGGGCTCGGATTGGGTCGAATTTGGTGTTGTTGTGTTTGTATTTCCGAGACGCTCAGTTTAACTATAAGCTCGCTGAAATCGGAGTTCAGAGGCTCCTGAATTTAATCTTTGAAATTTCCAAATAGCTTTTTGCCTCGAGATTCGTGTCCGATCAAGATAAATTTGTGATGACGTATCAATATATATATGCAGTGGAGAACCGCATGGACTTTAGGGGGGCAATTGCCCCTCAAAGTAAGAAAAATTTTTTGCTCCTCTTAAAAAATTATTTTTGCCCTCTTAAAAAACTCTTTTGTCCTAAAATGTCTATATATTTCTTCAAATTTAATTCTAATATTTTCTTTCATGTTTTTCATGACAATTTAATTACATCTTTTTTTTTTCTTTATTATTCTTGCTTATTTTTTTAAATAACTTTTTGTTTATATATATATATATATATAAAAATTTTACTTGTCCCGCAAAATTGAAGCTAATTCCACCTCTGTATATATGCTCGTTGTTTGTGTCACCTACTAAATATTTGGACATTAAATAGAAGTATTTCATCTCTTCCTTAGTTTCACTTAATTCTGGGTGATTTAGCATCTTAGTTGATCTTATAGGCTTTCTATGTTAATCTTTTACCCTCACTGTTCATACGTTACTTTTCAGTCTTTTCTTTTTGATTCAAGCTTTTGATATGACCATATTTTTTATATTTAAAATAAATAGTATTAGTACAAAACATTACATTATTTTTATCATTGTCCGTTCCTCTCTTATTTTCATTATGCTCTCTGTTTCTCTTCATATATAAATGGTTTTGAATTTTTATTTCAGTTGTGCAACAACTTCATAATATTTTTCTATCATATGGTCATCACCTAATTATAATGCATCTAGGGAAATAGACTTATATTTCTTCTTATCTCTTACATCTATAATTTTTTATTATTTTTGTTCATATGATCTTAGTGATCCAAATAATAAAATAATAAAATAAGAAGATAATTTCTTGGATTAAAAAATAACAATAATTGTGACATTCCAACATTCTACTAAAATAATTAAGCATCCAAGAATATTGTTTACCTGTCCAGTATAAGAGTACACTAGGCCCAAAGAGTAAAATTAAATAATGTTTTTTTATATATATCCAATGATGAACAAATTGATACAAAATTATTTTACTACATTCTTCCCCTCATACACTATGCCCAATAGATCTCAAATTTTCTTAAACGTTTTCCAAGTGGATATATGCATATAGTTTTTAGATAAAAGTACACGAAAGAAATAATATAATTTAGGATTACTAGAATATAAATTATGCTAGATGAATACTTGAAAACTCCTGTGAGTGAGCTAAAAATCCGAGCAAAGAGTTGATCTCCAAGCTTTTAATAGAGAACTTGGTTTCAAAGTGGTGTTGAGATTTTTGGTGCCAACAATACTAGTACATCTCTAATGTGTGGTCCTCCTATTTCAGTAACTCAAACCTAGCAGTTACTTCCTGATAAGCCTCATCCACTGCCACCCTAACTGACAGTTTAATTTCAACATATAGCTTAGTAAAGTACAAAAAAATTAAAAAAGAAAAAATTGACATATAACACAATGTGTTTGGGGACTCCATCCACTTATTATAGGATGTTGCCACAAAGAATGCAAAGTAAGCACTAACACTAAAGTTCTCTCTAATTAAAATGTATTATATTCAGCGCAGTGAATAAACCAATTTTTAGTTGCATGCTATAGTACTCACAGAAATCAACACGTACAAGCTCATCATCTGAATTGATTTTATTTCAAGCTAGCTCAACTAGAATTAATTCAATTTTAAGCAAGCTCAAATTAAAAACGAGTTTGTTCGAATTTTTTATTTAACACGTTTAAATTTGTATTATGCATATATACAAATAATATTAAAAAAAAAATATTTACATTTCAAGCAGATTTTGAGTTGACTCGAATCAATCCAAGCCCAAATCAAAATTGGATTGGAGCCAAAAATTGGGCTCATGATGTATCTTGTTCGGCTTGATTCAAGAGAAATTGATTTAATCTTCATGTGTTATTGATTTAAGGGCATAAATTTCAGCCCTTATTAAATTAATTTAAAACTAATATATATTTTGATGGTTGTAATAAAATTAAAAATCAACAACTTTTCCGTTAAAAAAGAAAAAAAAAACAAGCAATACAGGAAATTAAAGCTTAAACATTTATAATAAAATGCATTTATCTATAAAATTAATTAACAAGATACACCTTTGGAGTTTGAAGCAATGTGATATATCAACTTGGATATTCATAGAAACCTCTTTCCATTCTCTCTCTCATACTTTCTTTAATTTTCTTTTTTCTGAAAAGCTCTAAATAAAAATTCTCTTAATTGACAACCAACCAAAACTTTCACCCAATAAATCACGTGAATTCCCTTCCTCAATCTCAATAGATCAAGGTGAGTTGCATAGCTCTCTCTATTGCATTTATTGATTTTGTTGAAAGCATTTATTGATTTTGTTGAAAGCATTTATTTTGCTCCTGATACAAGTCTGCACTGTGGCCAATAAATAAGGACCATATCTCCAAAGACAAAAATAAATGCCCAATATTTATTTAAAAATCATAAGGAGAGTGGTTGAGCTAATTTATTATCAAAGTTTTGTCCGACCCCCGTCTGTCAGATGAGTTGGGTATTATTGCAATTATAATTTGTTTTCGGCTCTCCCTTAACAAAAAATATATTAAAAAAACAAAGAGTAGACAAATTTAATGCTGAAGTACATTAGGCCCAGACACCGAATGACCAAAATACTAGTAGATAAATGTTCTTTCGACTAGTGGGGCCTATATATAATAATAATAATTTAATAGATAAAACTTGAATTTGTTAAATTATGAAATAAAATTCTAAGTCCATAGTTATATAGTAACGAGGGCAGAAAACCTCCAGAAAAATCGTAATGGCGCTACACAAATCGCTTCACGGGGTACCTATGGACGCAATCATTCCATGGGTTGTCAGGGGCCATACGCGCATCCCCGAGCGCTCGCCACACGACGGTGCAGGCCTTGAAACCAGTCCCAAAGGCAAGCATCCAAAGCCGGTCCCCTCGCTTGACCCGGCCCTTCGCCTCGAAGTAACCGAGCTCGTAAAAAACCATGCTGCTCGACGTGTTGCCGAAGCGGTGCAGGCACATCCGAGCCGGCTCAGTGACCCGCTCATCGAACCCCATGATCCGGCCCACTGCGTCGATCACTGCCTTCCCACCTGCATGGATGCATATGTGCTCGAACGCGACAGTGAAGTCCGGCACGTATGCCGCTGCGGCTTTGCGCTCGCCTTTGGCAACCGAGCGCGCCACACAATAAGCGTAGCGGACGAGTTCAGAGACTGTGAGAACATAAGGAGCAAGGGTGGAAATGTGGGAGCGGAGGCTCGCGCCGGCTACACCGACGAGGTCTTTAGTTAGGGCAACACCAATGCCGCCGTGGTCGTCGTCTGCTTGCATGGCAGCGTTGTAGGCTGCATCGTCGGGGCCATGGTGGGTGCGGAGGCTCCTGAGAAGCTCGTACTTGGCAAACACATTGCTGGAAGGATCGCTTGTGAGGAGCACTGCGGCGGTCCCAACGCGGAAGATGCAATTAGTCACCAGCATGTGACGGTTGTCGCCAAAGTACCTATCATGTTTTCATCATTTGGTGAAATTACAATATATGTTCATGTAGAAATTATGTTAAATTTGTCAGTACAGTTTGGTCATTTTGTTGGCCTGATTATAAAATAATATAAGTTTCCAAATTTTAAATAAATCCTAAAAGTTTTCAAAAACATTATGCTGTATTACTCCACTTCGCTAGCTCTCTGAAGTCTGCCAAAGTTGCAAACAAACTAGTTTGGTAAATAGCATTCTTCAAAGTTAAAGTTTTTGTATGACATTGTAATAGACAGTAAGAAATTGTGATAAACAGCACATCCTAACAACCATCACTTAGATTTCATTTAAAGCAGTTTTTTATTATCAAAATTACCATGTGTTTTCCGTCTGAATTTTAGGAGTTGTCTTGCAACAAGATTTACACTGGATTTTTGCATTATTTAGCATAATTCCTACCAAACAGGATTTACAGTCGATGTAAATCCCATAGCGGAATAAATCTGCATTTACCATCTTTTGCTGTAAATCCCAGATTTCATAAATCTGAGAGTTCGGCGGATTTACAGTATTTGGCCGAAGAACTCACGAAAGGAAGAAGGAACTACAGTTTACAGTGTGTGTTTGACGAATAATTATTAGGTGCGGAGTGCTGACGGGGAGAGTAACGTCTGCACAGACACAGGATACCAAGCGGTACCTAGTGGTACTCAGCAGTACCGAACAGTACATAACTGGATTTTATACTAGTGTCCAGACGGTTCTCCCCGTCTGCATTCCGCACCTAACTTCTTAACACGGCGGAATGTACACAATATTTTCATCGACCTCTTACTGCGGGCGGAAGGTACACAACATTTTCACGTCATGTCTTCTTGCAGCAAGTTTTTGGAAATAGTACATATTAATTTGAGCATCGATATATAGCATATGTAATGGCCACCTTTGAATATATGAATTCTTTGTTGTTTGTTCTAATTGAGCTTGATTTTCTATGTTGATTTCTCGATGTTGTTCTTGCTATTGCTTGCCAAACAGTTCCACCCATTTTATAATATAAAAAATTAATTTAACTAATTAAGTAATTAGTAGTATAAATAAATAATTAAAATTAGATTAATTAAATAAATAGTTGTATTGTTATTAATCAAAATTTTAATTAATTAACTTAATAAATATAATTTAAAATAGAAACTATTAATTATAAATAACTAATAATATAAATTATTATTAAATAATTAAGATAGAAATTAATAATTTAATCTAACTTAATATGTAATTTAAATTAAAAATATATTAAATTTAATTTTTAAGTGAACTAATCACTTAAATCCGAAATTAATACCAAATAGTTTCACTGAATTTAACAGTATTTATCACTTAAGTTGCCAAAACTTTTAAGATTTAACAACTCAAGGATTTACTAAATAGTTAAATCTGCTAGTTACCAAACAGCCCACCTAAAGAAGAATATTCTCATCCCCCCAATGTTTTATCATGAAATATTTTAAAAGAAAGATCAAATTAAATTCCGCGCACCATCTTCATATATTTGGAAATGAAACACCATTATAACCTTTCCCAAAAAAAAAATACAATTATATAAATAGCTCTTTTCTTTTATATAGAAAATATCGTATTAAATTAACCTCATGAAACCAAAAACAATTATAAAAAATTATATTCATAAAAAATTAATCAGATTTATGTTTACGCGATATGATGGGGAACTAAAATATGCAAGAAATAGTTCCAAAATGCCATCCAATATTGGTGCGAAGTAGCACGTATTGCATAAGAGGGCATCTAGAACAACGCACCAATTCAGTCCGGTGGCCTCGGTGACGACAAGCAGAGCATATCCGGGGCTGCGGCGCAGAATCATCGCTGCGAGGTCCATTCCAACTGTTCCCGCACTACAACCCATCCCAGACAGATTGTAGCTCTTGATATCAGACCTGAATCCAAACCTGTTGACGAGTCGGGAGGTAAGGGATGGAGCGGGAGAAAACATGCTACACGCCACAATAAGCGTGGAAACCCTCTCCGCCGCCACATTTGTCTTAGACAAGAGCGATGAAACCGCGGAGCACATACCATCGTCCGCCTCAACAATGGCAAATGGAAGCTTAGAGTCGAGATCGCGCTGAAAGATGTAAGGCGGGCCGTACGTCTCTTCGCCAAGGCCAGACTTGCGGTATATTGCGCGCATGAAGTCGGCGCTCGCTGTGGTGTAACGGCGTGAACGCAAGCCGAAGTATTCACAGAGTTCGAGGTTGCATCTGTAGTCTGGGTCCGGGCGGTAGCATGAGTAGTCTAGCAGGAAGACGGGGAGGGGCCGGGTGTAGAAGTAGGTGATGACAGCGAGGATGAAGGAGTAGAGGGCGAGGAGGGGTGCTTTTGGGAAGGGGAAGAAGGACGGGAAGTGGTGGAGGGCGAGACCGAGGATTAGGGTTGAGAAGAGTAGAATGAACGGAGGACGAAACATTATAATTTTTTTTTTTTTTTTTTTTTTGAAGTGGCGAGGGAGGTGCTTTAGATAGTTTCTTATATAAAGGGAGGGTAGAGTGGTCAGGAAGTTATGGTGGGAGTAAATGAGTCATAGAAAGGAGTAAAAACTTTCTTATTGGGGAAATGAATTGACAAATGACAAATGAGGAAGCGGGACACAGCTGGGAATGCCGGGCATAAAGCATGCAACGCCGTAACCCGTAAATGCAGCCGCATATATGAAGTTATGGCTAAGTCTCAATTCATCGTTATTATTTTAGGAACTTTTATTAGGTCTCGATACCTGACGTAACTCTACATCCGGATGTCAATAAAATATCGTCACGTGCTCTTATTCTTTACCGCTCGGCTCGACGACCCGACCCGGACCGGAACCCGGTATTGCTATGTTCGTGTATTGCTAGGTATTGCTCGGTATTGCTATGTATTGCTCGGTATTGCTATGTATTTCTCGATGTTGCTAGGTATTGCTTGACAATAATGAGAAATATTGCTCTTTCAAGATCAATACCGAGCAATACCTACCAATACCGAGCAATACCTAGCAAAACCGGGGTATTGCTTGGTATTGCTATGTATTGATCTTGACATAATGGTATTTCTCGTTACCGAGCAATACCTAGCAATACCCTGGTCTGCACAAATCAGCTAATACATAGCAATATCAGGTTTCGGTCCGGGCTGCGTCGTTGGGCCGCGCGGTAAATAGTAAGAGCACGTGACGATATTTTATTGGTGTCCGGATGTAGAGCTACGTCAGGTGTCCTGACCAAATAAAAGTTCATTATTTTAGCCTGCAAGCTGGAAATTGTGGGAGGTATCATTTCTACTCAATTATTTTAAATTTATCTCTCAGTTAAGTAAGTGATAGAGTGTGCAAGGGATATCCGATCGTCATCACAGAGAATCACGACGTTGTAGCCCCTGTCACATAGTCGTCAAAGAAATCTCTCATCTATCTGGTGAGAAATTATTTTGTGTGGAATCTGAACTCTAATGAATTCTTGACAATTGGATTTAACATGTGGATATTCATTTTCTTTTTTTATTATTATTTTTTATATTTTTATCTTGTGAGCCGCCTGACCGACCATGTCAGTCCAATAATTTAAATAATTTCTCCAAACCTTGAATATGGGTTGGCGCTTCTTTTTAAGAAAAAATACGTGAAAACTCCTAAATATTTAAGATTTTGTCTCAAATAATGTTTGACATACTGACATTGTTTTCAAAATCGGACTTGATCGACCGATTCAACCCTGAACCGGTATGGTGGCCAGTCCGATCCAGCTACAAAACCGACTCTGGATCAAATTGGATTGAACTGACAATTCAACCAATAAATCACAACCGGCTGTTAAAAAATATATTTATTTTTAATTTAAATTTAAATAATATATTATGTTTATTAAATTTTTATAACTTTTTAAAATACTTTTAATAAATATGAATGATTAATTTCACCATAAAATATACATTATCTTAAATAACTCATATAATTTGTTTAGCAAAAGGAGTGTACTCACTTTTATAAAGAGTCAAAGCAACATGCTCAAACTCCTCCTATGATGTGAGACTAAAAAGTTGCATTAATAGTTTAGAATATAAATTTGGGGGCCTTTATTTTTGGGCTCAGTTTTTGGGGGCTTCAAATTTGGGCTAAGAGCAAATGTTATATTGGATTAACATAATATGAATATAATAAATTTATATTATGATAAATAAATTTTAAAAATTATATTATATTAAATATGAACTATAAATATTATTCAATTATAAATATATAAATATATATTCTTAAATGATATTATATCCTAATTTTTATATATATATTTTTTTTAGAAAATTTATAAATATTATTAAATGCTCATAATATTAATTATTTATATATATTAAGATCATAAATTTTTAATATTAGATTATATATTATTATTAAATATTATTCTATAAATATATTATTCTTAAAATGATATTTATATATATAAAATTTATTAATATTTTAAAATTTTATAATATTATTAAATGCTCATAATGCCTATATATATTATATTAATTTTTATTAATTTTAATAATATTCTTATTTATTACGTCATTCGATTTGACTTCCAGTTCGAACTAGTCGAACTTGAACCACTCTCTTTTTTCTCGTTTATATCCAGTCCATTTTCAACAACTTGCCTACTGATGAAGAAAAAAAAAACGCCTACTGATGAAGAAAAAAAAACAAACAAAAAAATCGATGAAGATTAAGACAAATTTGGAGGTGGACGTTGTATTCTTTGAGCATATCATATGACTACAGGATGCGGAGGCTGAAAGGCGGTATAAAAACGTCCAGGAAGAGGGAAACTTTTAATTTAAAAAAGACGTAACCTTAAGGAATGGCATAGAGTATGAAGCAGAAGTTACTTTGGTTGTAGGTGCAATAGGATTCAATTTATCATTAAAGTTCAAACTCATCCTATGAAAAAACTTGTAGAAAGTAAACACGCAAAAAAGATAAACTGTATACAATCTTGTAGCCACGACGTACAAAATATTTAATTGGTTGTCTTTTACTTTGTACTAATTTTTTATGAATAGTTTCAAATTTCTATAGATCATTTTGTGAATCTTTTTTGAACTACTTATTTACTCAATATTCACAACTTATTCACTGCATTTTCAATTTATTATTTGCATATGCATTGTGTTTTCAGTTTTCACTTTATATCAACTGCGTATTTAATGTGTATTGACTATGTATTTGTTGAGTATTTATTGAGTATTTGCTAAGTATTTACTAAGTATTTGTTATGTATTTGCTACATATTTTCTGTGCATATATTCAATACGAATTAACTTTTTTTACATGGTATTATTTACACTTTACAAGAGTTTGTATAAGAATGAGAAAGATGAGATTTATTTCAGTTATGCCCATAATGTTAGTTTTAGTGTTCAAGAGGATCATCACAATTATTAGCCAAAATCTTGAAAAATAAAGTGCAATTACTTTGTCTATTCAAAATTTGGTTTCAACAAGGGTATTGATTTTAAAATCCAAACAAAATATTAAATATTAGATATCAGTATAGGTTGTCCAGTTATGATTAAATTTTTAGTGGATGAAACTAAAAATTAGAATGTGATAAGATTATTGAAAGTCATAATCATGATTTGACTATACCAAAAGACTGACATCTACTGAGATTATATATCAATATTTGTGATGATAAAGCTTCAGCTCTTAAATCAATGACAAAAACTGGGATAAAAATCATTTATGAATTCTCCTACCTTGCAAATGAAGCTGGAGATATCGAAAATGTTGGATTCTCTAAGAATGATGTATAAAACTTTATTTATAAAAAGAAAAGAACAAAGATTGAATTTGGGGATACTAGTACTTTGATTTAATTATTTAAAGACAACATGTTCTCATGGGACATTCAAATTGATGAATTTGATATATTGATAAATTTCATTTAAGTTGATGGGATGGGTATGATAGATTATGACTACTTTCGGGATGTGGTAATTTTTTATACTAGCTATAGGCTTAATAAGTATAATTTAGCATATGAACTATTTTTTGAGGTTAATAATCATTGATTGAATATTCTATTTAGGGTGGCTTTCTTGTTAGGAAAATAATTGAATCATTTATTTTCCTTTTAAGAACATTTATACGATTAATAGGTGATAAATATCAAATAACAATTTTTATGGATCTAGACTAGATAATAGCTAGAGCCATAAAAGTTGTTTTACCTCACATTTGTCATAAAATGTGCCAATGACACGTCTCTAAGAATGTTCCCTCAAAAATCAGGTGCTTGAATATCAACAACAAATTCATAGGACACTTTTATAAATGTTTGAGGAAGTGTGACTATAAGGAAGTCTTTGAAAAAATATGGACTGAAATGATCACATAAGAGAACCTCCAAACTCTATAAGTGATCAACAACATTCAATAAGGATTATTTTAGCATAGCCAGTATATCCACAAAATGTAGCGAGGCTAGTAATAATGTGTGTCATGACATTTTTAAGACTATATGTTTTATAACTGATTATTTTTTGGCATTGATGACGACTTGGTTCTAGAATGAACAATATGAGAATTATAAATGCAGTCAGTCCAAGATATCACCTATAATTAAAGACAACCTAATGTTAATGTAAGCTGCTCGATTTTACTAATGAAAATTATAATAATTTTTTGAAAAAGAATTTTTACAATGTGGGGTGGAATGAGTATAGAATTTGTATTAAGTAATTTTTTTTTTTTTTTTTTGTCAAGTGCATAGAGAATAAGGAGCAATCTAACCCTTGGGTTATTCATTTTGTTACAAAGGCGTTAGCATTCAATGTACCTATAGGAAGTTTGAGACGACATGTTCATTGTGTTATCACTTCATGAAAGTTTATAGGCAGCTTGATATTATCAAAATTCCTAAGAAGTACCTAATGCTTTGATAGTCAGCAAAAACTTATATATATATATATAAAGAATAATTTTGAAACTAGAAGTGAATTAATATTTAGAAATCATCTCAGGAGATTTTTGTATCAAAGTACCTCATAAGCATAGGGGAATGACAAGGCTAAGTAATACATGTTGGTTGTATTGAATATCATGGCTAAAAAATAAACTTGATCCTTAATGTCAAGATAAAAAATCAAAAGTTTGTAAGCAACACACATGATATGATTAAAAACTTGAAAGACACACCAAAGTTTAAACCTAAATGCATATCTGATGGAAGGTTGAAAGGAAACTAGAAGAAGAAGCCTAATAATATGATTAAACTCACATACTAATTGGTTTTCATTACACATTATGAGATAATATATATTTTATTGATTTTAATTATTTTCAACATAGTTCTCAAGCATGCCCAAATGGTTTAATGAAAAGTTCATAATCGAGGTAACCACCAATCAACCATGATCTAAATACACGAAGTTAATGATGGATATTATTGCTTCAGACCAATAATTGTAATGATT